ATGGACTCAGGCGAAATTGCTCTGTTAGTGTTCCTGGATTGTTCAAAATGTTTTGACGCTCCAAGGACCCAACTCCTAGTACTTGTAACAAAATCTATGCTTCGTAATGTCCCCAAAATTACGATCAAATTGGAACATCGACAGTGACTGAAACCGGAGCTGTCAAGAATCTGGGTCTCACGATTGACAGAAACCTCACCTTTTTTCCACATATCGACCAACTGACAGCTAGGCGTACTGATACGCTCATTGCCCTGATCCACGCCAGCCCCTTGGGTCTGCGCCGTTTGCTGCGGCAAGAAGTGAAAGGACTCGTGATGTCCTCAGCTCGTTTCTGCACATCCATTTACGGAACATGCGGCACCACACGCATTCATCGAGCACCAAAACTGGCCGATTTTTGCACCCGTGCCTTTTCACGCAACAAGAAGTACGACCAAAATTTGAGAGGAAGCAACACGTTTAGGCATTTCGTCGGCTCCAAATCCACTAAAATATCACCAATTAGCTCTTACCAAATTCATACTCCACACATGACAACCGACAGGCCGGCGAGGAGTATTCCGGACTGTCCAGGACAACTGCAACACTCGACAGACCGGACAACATAAAGCTACGCGAGCCAGGACGAGCGCCGGGATGCGTAGGCTCAGCCACGGGACTGCGACATTGTTTAACCGCCTGCCAACCGCCATGCAAAACACTAGGCACGCGTCGCGCAACAATGCAGATGTCTACACCATCCGCTCCGGGGTGACCAGCCGAGCTGAGTGTGCGTTGCTGCGTTGGTTCGTGAATTGTTAGTTGCCTGCATTGTGAGACCTTTGAGTTTGTTTCCCTTGCCTACTGTTTATTTTGGTATTTAATCTTGACTTGGCTCATGCAAAGACTGGAAGTATTCCAGGATATAACCACAATAACTACAGTGAACTAAACTGAACCCAGCGCCCCAACACGGCCTGTCCAATGCCTCAGGATCTGCCATTCAGTCGTGCCACAACATACCAGCTGCGCATGCGCAAATCGCACTCCTAGCACCGGATGGTGCTGCCACCTGGGCGCCCAAAATAAGCAAAACTCTAGTGAAGCTCTGACTTTATAGATCTCGCCAGCTGTTCAACATTAGCACCTCCTTTTCGTCACAGTGAGAACACTGGCTCAGAACCTAGATTACTGACTAGCTTGACAGAATTCTGACACTCTGACACAACACTGACTAAGAACACCGTCCTTCCATCTCAATCGTGACACCCCCATCGGGACGCATAATCTGCCAGGTAGGGCGGGCAGAGAACTCCGCCCTGCTCTGCGGAGGAGAGCGTGAAGCCCGCCAGCGTGTGGCTCAGGGGCGCCAGGCACAGACATCGGACCTGGGCCCCGAGCCGGCATCAGAGTCCTGGACGGAGACCTTGGAGCACCCCGCGGCGACCGTGGTAGGGTCAAGGCGGACTCACGCCACCCCGGTCCAAAGAGGACTGCTACGATAGCGGCCGGGCAGGCCGGAGAGCGAGCGGATTCACGCCCAGCAGCGGCGGTGGCGGTCCAAAATACCAGACGCCTTTTTAAAACATCAACTGAAGACGGAAAACCCATCCCCAGAAGAAGACAGTGACCAAAGGAGTTCTGTCGATCGACCACCAGCGACAGTGTGACCTTATCTTCAGGGGACATCGACACCTCTGCGGTGATTTACTCAGCACAACGGACAAGCCCTCCCACACTTGAATGGCCATGTCTGTTCGTTCGATTTGAGCTTCATCGGAAATTATATTTTGTAGTTCACTGTCACTGAAGGGGCCTATCGCCGCTCGCCTGTCCAGCAGAACACATCATTGCACGCCGTTGCAGGACACGTTTACAGAGCAGCATGCGCGCGTGTTGCGCTGACAACAATACCCGTTAACCGGATCGCAGTGCCTGCGGTTATCACTCTCAGTTGGGGGCTCCTCAAGCGTCTGTTTGGGCTTTCTTGTGGCATTGTTATCGCGACGATGGATGCAGAGTTTAGCGTGAAGGACGGGGTTTTCCTGCTCCCGTTCTGACCTTTCGCACAGCAGGATGAAGTGGATGCCGCCGAGACACCGTGGATGGAGAGGTCCGTTTTTCTCGCCAGCAAACGAGTAGATGATGAACCCTCCCGAAATTTTCAGTGGTTTTCACATTGAAGAATCTGGCCAAAACTGCTATTTGGGGAACATTGCTATCATCACTGAGCTAAGCGACTGACCCAGCGGACTCATCAGTTTGAGCGTTTGATGGGAATGATGGTCTAGTTTGAAACCGCATTTTACGGGAACGCGAAGTATTTCTTCAACAAGCTGATGCCACGAGGTCCGACTTTCTAGCGTCTTGCCCATCTTGAAGCGACTCCAGCGGCAAAGATTCTACCATCGTGTCAACGCCCCCTCCGGCTTGTGCCAGTGGAGGCGGTGGGAGATCATCGACGCCGGACGTCGACGAGACGTGCGGAGCGCTGGGTGAAATTGTTCATCACAAGAGGTCTGCAGCAAAATTGGGGGGGATTTGTATTCACGTTGCATCACATTCCAATATCTAATGCATTTTATAAACAGATAAGATGCACTCTTGAATATTGCTGTGCTATGCCATGTCTTAAAACATTCCCAGGTACAGAGAAGCTCATTCATCCAACAAAAGGCCTACACATCCTACATCCATTGGGGTGCTCATGTCCCGATGGCATGCAGGAACTCTCGCTTAAATGCGGCAACAAAGCATGAGTGATTAAGAGCCCTCACGTGGTGTGGCGAAGGGTCGTAGTCGACCGGGGCTCGAAAAATAAGCTGCCGCTTGGGTCTTTTCTGACGCGCTGTAGGCAGTCTGATATCGTGTGACTGGCGGGTGCGTTTCCCTGTCGTGTCGATGTTTGTGCTGAGTATATTTGCCAATGCTGATTGTTGTCCCGTTGTGATGATGTTATGAAGGAAGGTTGCGTTGTGGTAATATGCCAGCCGTCCCACATTCAGGGCAGTGTTTCGGTTTACCAGATCGGAAATATGGTAGAACTTCCGGTGGCCTGTTGGTCAAAGCGATGGTCAAAGCATTGAGCGGTAGAACCTCAGAGACTCTGGATTTGCATCTTGCCGCGAGGGCTGCTCGAAAGGTAGGCTTGAGCAGTGATCCATGCGTATGCGCTACTTTCACGTCAGATTTTTTTTGCTGGTCTTGTGGCCTTCGACTCGCGTGCTAACCATGGATCGCAATTTCAAAATTTAGTAGCACCCCCAAGGCTCTTCTTTTCTTCTTTAACCAATACACAATTCATACCAGATAGCAAGCTTCTGCCACTGCTGCCATGTTCTACCATCTGTGGCTGTTCGACTGCTGCGCTGGGAAACTATCCTTCACGGCACCACTCGCCATCCAGAGGCGCTAACACGTCTGCCCTTGCTCACAGTGAATAGCACTGGCAGCATCAGCAGTGCCGGAACGAGACTGCACGCCAGCACAGCACGGCACAGCACAGCACAGCACAGCACAGCACAGATCCTGACAGCCGATCCCCTAGCCGTGACGCGGCGAGGCGCCTGCTGGAGCCGCACCGCCTCTGGCACTGCCCTGAGATCCGCGCTCCCCCCCCCCCCCCCCCCCCGCTCCCTCACCCGATCGAGTGCCAGGTCCGTGCAGCAGCGTAAGCGAATTCGTGCGGTGCCACCACGGACCGTGTTGTCAAACTTACCTTATAGGCGGCGCCACTGTCTTTCGTGCTTTGACGTCGTTGGATTGCTTCGTTGCCTTATCCGATGTTGCTGCCGCGCGCTGCTGTTTTTTTTTTTTGCTATGCTTTGTTGGTCTCAACGAAGCTCTTCCGCTCTTTTTTTCAGTATATATGTATATATAGATATAGATATAGATATAGATATAGATATAGATATAGATATAGATATAGATATATATGATATATATATATATATATATATATATATATATATATATCAGTGGTTTGGCACAATTTCAGCCCAAAAATCTTCTCGCGCCGCTCGCACGTCAGGCTGAAATCGTCTCTTAAACAAAGCAGCACTTTTCTATACGGGGTTGTCGTGGCCTCAATCCAAGGACAAATGACAGATTGGGTAGGTTGTGCAATTTGGTCAGGTGACTTGACCCCAAACCTGATAGTTGTATCAGTCAATGTGGCCGTTTCGCGTGTTTACGGGCCCGTAGAAACGTATGTTTGTCGTGTATAGCAGTGCGCCTACCAGCACTTGAGCACCCTTCCAACCGTATAATAAAAAGTCGCATTTGCGCGCTTGTAACCACCGGGTTAAAGATGCACCAGCTGAGTAGTTAAGCAAAGCAATAAATTAAACAACATACGACCATATATGACACGAAAAGGCTTAAAAGGTAAATCTGAAAAGCTCTGGAGTACGGAACTGACCGAAGTCCTTCAGGGCTAACCCCATCCCCGCTTCCCGCTAGCAAAAAGTACGCACCGCCGCCTACAGCCTCCACAGAAGACCGCTTTCGGCTTCTAGGGCGGCCTCTAGGGGGGGCGCCTTTACTTTCCGATCAGAATGGGCACGTGCTTCCAGTGCCATCCTCTTTGTGTTCTGCGTTGCACGGTTACTATGCTATAAAATTAACGACCAATTATTAAATCATGCAAGCCTTTGAAATATGAATGGTCATTCGTCGAAACAAAGCGTGCTAAATCCGTTGTGAGAAAAACAATAATGGGGTAAGTTTAGGCTATCGAGCATCCACTCAATCCTTTACAAAAATTGACACCCTTGTATACACCAATGATCACCTGATATCACCGTTGACTCGTGGCTTCTAGCACACTCAGATTCCGCTATTTTCTATAGAACGGCTCAAAGTGCTGAGAAAAAGAAGCCGAAGAACTTGTCTGCTGATATCAAGCTTTTTTGAGGCTTGACTGGATGTACGATGGAGGTCACATGATAGCCTGGCACGTGCAGCAAAAGAAAAGAGCAAAAAACAAAACAGGCACAGTAACGAAAGGTTACCAACTTTTCTCTTTCTCAAATGCTCATCATGGCATCCACCGTTGCTAAAGTAAAACATCGCGTCTATTTGCATTGCCAAAGCAATCCTATGAACCGTTAGGCAAACTGCTTTACCTCTTTCCATGCGAATTTGACTCTCCAATGATCTAACTTGATCCTAACGATTCGTAATACTTGGACATCCAAAACAGTCATGTGAACAGCTCGAAGTTTATTCATTCAGATCTGGAAAGTAAATTTTAGTTCTGGCAGATAATGCCGAGATCACGCAGATCCCGTCTGGCCGCTGAGCACGTTCAGGAGCGTCGCCGGAGGAGGAGGCCCCTTTGCTCACGACGTTCAGCGACTGTCGCTGTGGGCAAGAGTCGTTTCACCATGCTTAGGGAGCACGCCTTCACCATGATGCCACAGGGAAACATACTGGGAATGTATCAAGTAAGTATGCCCAAGAAGCGAAACGCACGCATGACCTCGAGATGCGCATCGAGTCGAAGCGAATCTGTCTGACTTCAAGGATTGTTGATAGTGTTTGGACACTACGGTGGCATTTGGCTTCTGGCATTATACCAACCAGTATCTCCAGAGATATGATCGACGCTGGTGCGAATATGGCTGTGTCCTGGACACATTCGTCTGTAACTTAAAATGTTGATATCATTCACATGCTTGGCAAACACTCCTGGCTGCTATAATATCGGAATAACAGAAACATAGCTACACACCTTCGTCTTGGTCTGATTTCAGGCAATGGTGGAAAATATTTTTAAAGAACGGGCACGAGACGATGGCCGGAGGCGTGCAATAGAAAGAAGTGAAATTCACGAAACAGTTCAAAATCAAGTGTCGGAACTTCGCCAAGATTTTCACAGCCAGACGGAAATTCGGGTAAGATGATTGTGCCACGTTGCCACTTCATGACGTTGCAGTGCACTTTTACAAACTGAAAGGTGCCGAAGGTGTACGATCGCAGGGTATGTGTAGCGTTACTGGCTGTTTAAGAACCCAGTGGCGCCGCCAAACGGCGTTCTTAGAATCGCCGACAAAGAGGAAGCGTAACAGCACGCCGTGGTGCGTCACTGCGGAATCACTATGCATTTAAGCGTTGTAGTAATGCAATGGTAATGCCCGGTGGCGCCGAGACGGCGGAATGGTGGCCACTCCTGCGAGACGAAGCTCGAATCAAACGCTACTTGTTGCGTTCAACAGTTCATGGCAGTATATTGCAGATGCCAATGCCACAGATTGCAGTTTTCAGTTATTTCCGAACTGCGACGAGGCTAAATTAGCGCGGATCAAGTTTCTCAAGCTCGGAAGGAGCCTGGAGCCGCAGACCGTGTGTGCCGCAGACATTTTGGGCACGCAAGTTTCTTCTCGCCAGGTAGGTGTTTGACATAACAGCTGTATTATTTGTTACTTTCATTTAGCTACTGTGTCAGTTGTATTCCGCAGGGAATTGTATTCCACATGTTGGCATAGTTGGGGGGGGGGGACTTTTGGGGCCGTGGCGATGACATGGGGCCCAGGAGGTGGCAAATGCTCTAGAGCCCCAAGTTCCAGCACTCATTGCCAGTTTTAGATGACCATTGCGTTTAAAACTTACCCCCACTGGAAAAAACCAGAATGGAAAGCCTATTAATACCTCAAGCAATGAAACAGGACCCCAATCGTTGCGAGAAGGGGCCCTTTGGCTGACCAGGTGTCATGATGTGATTTGCCCCAGCCCTGGCCAAATCCTGGGAATGCCTTTAATTTTGTACGTCATGCGGTGGTGTGGACACGTCAGGTTCGCATAGCATTTCATAATTTCCACCAATTATCTGCACCCGTTTCCTTTTGATTAATAAAGTGCTCTCAACATGGCTTAAATGGAAACAAATTGATATGGTAATGTCACTTACTAGCCACAGCCTACAAGCCAGTAGCCACTTGCAGGTGTCCCAATGCTGCATAGTGATTGGGGTTTAACGTCAACATGCTCAGTCCATGAGTTATTTTGGTTAAAATGTCACACTTATTACTATACGACCAACCCAACCCTTGGAAAGAAGTTAACCCTACATCATGGCAAGCAAGATAGCATAATTGCCTACCCCTCATGGTATGATTCCTTTAATCGGCAGGCAATGTGATAAAGCAGTTATGGGAAGGGGCACCTCCGAGCCAGAGCTTACCATCAGGTATCTGCGCAAATCTGGCTGTTCCGCGACGCTCGGCAAGGCACAAGAGGTCCACTCGTCACCTCGACGCCAGACGGACGGCCAGTGCGGTTAAATACATCGGACAGGGGAAAAACCGTCCAAGGTGACAATTATGGTATGGAATGATATATTTATCACATTTATGTAAGCTATGTCTATTCTAAATGAGTATTATGCAGCATTGCAACTGGGGCCCTGTGTGCAACAATGTTTTGCAATTTTGTAATTTGTCAATAATTACTTCTTGGGGAGCTGTCGGACCCTGCGGCAAGAGTACAGGTGGTCGAGGAGCTCATTCATGCATTGTTTTGTCGCACATCTCTCTCACACTATACTGCAACCCTTCGCACAGCTTCAGAAAACTTTCTTTAAAGGCTCTTGTGCCTTACGAGAACACTAAATGTGATTTGGAAGTGCTACCTGGCATTGTATGGTTGTAAAACCGCCCATGTTAAGTGCTGCCATCTTTTTCAGTAGTTTTACTAGTTCAGGTCCTGAACTTTAATATTTTGCGAGGTCAGTGATGACGCAGTTTTGTTTTTTCATACCCTTTCTCATTCAAGGAGTCAAGGCTGCCAGTCAGAGAAGCTCTCATTGTGCAGGAACGGTGCCCACACGATATTATGATAGATGCGACTCGGTGTCGTCACAAGTTTCTCGTTCAGAACCTTGACGAAAGACGGAGATTCGGCGAAGACGGCATAAAATCCCAGCCGGGAAATCCCTGAGTGGTTGGCACTGGGAGGGAGGGCAGGCTCTCCTTATGGTCGAGGACGCCACCTGCGCGACGCTAAGAATGAGAGACATCCTGTACTGACGGATAGGGCGACTCTTTTCGCTATCCTCCCCTTCGAATGAACCTGACCCTCTCATTTGGAAAAGCCTCACGTGTCAAGATAAGGAGTTAACGTTGGAGACGTTTGCTTAATGTTAATAAAGACCCAATTTCGCCAGTATATTAGGCAATAGTACTCCACTTCAACGCTGTGTGCCACTGGAGGGAACTAGAGTGGAGAATTTGTGTGTGGGGGGGGGAGGGGGGGGGGGGGGGCGAAGTTGATTAGGGGTACGATGAATAAATGCGGTGTATGTTGATAAGTGTGGAATGCAACATTTGCAATTTATTGCAACAACAACAACCACACATTCGTCTTATCGCTGCATATCGCAGCGATAAGACGAATGTGTGGAATTGAGCGCAAGTCGGTAAATTTTGAGGACCGGTGGAAGCAACGGCCGTTCAGCATGGGGAGCGATGAACCGATATCTAAATTATAATTTTATTAAGATCGACTAATGTTGAAGCCAAAGACGTACTGGAGGGGGGGGGGGGGGGAGTAGGCGAGATGCCCGTCCGTCGTATCCTAGCCCAAGTCGTGTTAGGCGGGTGTAGCCGGTAAGAACCTTTCCACAGACTCCCCTCGATATGCCTATGTTCCTAATCTCGGCCTTAACCTCCACCATGGGTAGTGAAGAACCTATGTGTCTCACCAAGAATTGACCAGACTCACACTTGTAAAAAGTTCTGGAGGGAGCACAAGGTGCAGCACACTACGGAGTGCATTTTTCATTGCAGGACGGCCAGGTCGCATGAACACCTGAGGACACTACTAGCAATGAATAAAAAGGGCACGAAGAAACGTAATAACATCACGGACCTCGTAAAATATCACAATTCAGGAATTCAGCTATCAAAATTATTGTAAAATGGTGCAGAACTTTGCAAGAGCTGTCTTACGACTAAAACGCAAAATAGCGTTCTAACACTGCACTGAATGCTCTCGCAAGGCACAAGAGCCCTTAATACAGGAATTCTTAAATGGTTGCGACAGGCTGCAGGATGTTGCAAGAGCGATATACAGTAAAACAAAGCATGGTAGAGCTCTAGAATCACCCTCATTTTTCTCGCAAAGTCAGGAGGCCCCCAAAGAAGCAATTACTTAAAAATTGCAAAAATGCAAAACGTTGTTGCACACAGGCGCACCTCGTTGCAACGCTAGAGTTGCCTTTGTTGAACTATTTTTGATAATGCCTTTTTACAACGTGCAATGATAAGCCTGTTTAATGTATCCAATGGCCAGGTCACATGTTACCAATCCCCGTCACCGGTGCGCCACAAAGGGTCACAATGCCTTTAGACGCACAACATCTCCGTTCTCATCATGCATGGATTTGACAGAGGACTAGATATCAGACTGATGTGTTTCCATTGTGCTCCGACCCTACCTGTCCTCAATGAAGTCATGACTGTACCCCTGCCCGTGAAGTGACCAGCCGCTGGAAGAAATGGCGGTGGTCTTCATACAGTCTGTTGGCATCCAAGCTCCTTGCAAGTAGGTCAGCTCACTGGCTTAATGCCCAGTGAGCTGGTCCTAACATCATGAACCTTCTGACATCGAATACGACGCTGCAAGCGGCAACTGGTGTAGAAACCATTCGCGTTTTCAAAGGAATCTTTGATTGCTGCAGGAGAAAGACAAATGACCTGTAAAAAGACATTTCAAGAAATGCGGTGATGACTTTCACGAAGCTCAAGTATGCTCTGCCACGTTCATTTCCGTCATATTGCTCAGAATTAGTGTGCCAACAGATGTGGCAATCATCAAAGGAACTGTGACACTCCCAGGCGTTGCGCTACAGTCTGCCCCATGTTGGCCTTCAGTGGGGGAGGTGAGTCGAAACATACTCCATTGCTTCACAAACTTTTAAAAGATCAGGGTGATGCTGGACTGCACTGAGGTTTCGGTGGAAAACAGTCAGTGCATAAAGAGTCGGGACCAGGTCTACTTGCACTACAATGCAAGCAACACGACTGAAGTGATGATCGGCGTCTCACCAGCAGTACTCATCACCCACGTCAGTGTGCCGTGGGCGTTGAGGTCGTTTGACAAAGAAATAGTCTATAAGGCGAACATCGTCGACGTCCTAGAACGATACGTGGACGCAGTGATGGTCGACAAAGGGCTTCACATCGAACTATTCCTTAAGAACCATAACGTAGAAATGTACCGTCTACCGTTCCTGCGACATAAGGCCCAGTTCTCGGCGCATGAGACCGAGTTCACAGCAGAGATCGATGGCCACCGCCTATGTCGAACGGGTCATCAGCCGCTTCAAGAACTTCGTCATCCTGAACAGCAAACTGCCGTGGAGCCAAATGCCTTGTGTGGACTCGGTCATGCACACTCCGAGCGACATCAGTCATCTAAGTGAGCCAGTGCTGAGCAGTGGTGAGTTTTTGTGACCTATGAGGAGGAAACGGCTACGGGAGTGCCGTGGTGTCGCCACCTGTGTGACGCGCCATAAACATTATGCTGGATTCGGACCCCTATATCCATCATGAGCTGGTAACGGTGTTCAGGGTGACCCCGTGTTGCTTGCACTCCTGTAAATACAGAGAAGGTTTCGTATACTGTGTTTGTTAGATGCTGCGGCATCTCGCATGTGTAATGCAGGCAAGCGTTTTCAGACATGGAGCTTACTTTCCTCGTCGCACGTCACCACCGCTGCAACTAAACAGTTATTCAGGGCATCACCATTTATTTTCAGCACAAAACCATATCTTAATTAAGGTGCGAACACTCGCGACAAATTCGGTGCGCCGTTGAACGGATGATGGAGCATTGTTGGGCGGGCGACAAGGTGGCGGTGGGGGCAGCTGATGGGACGGCTGACCGGACAGTGGTG